TTTGCAGCCTGCTTTGCTTTTAAAATGGGAGTCTGTCTCTGAGCTTTGCTCTGTTCCTGCTAATTTGTAATATATATATTCTGAATTATGGGACAGGTTGGATATAAAAGAAAACCATGCTCATGAAACATCTTTGTTACTGTTATCTCTCTACTGCTTCTCGGTTTTATCTGGAGAGTAATAACTCTCCCGTTATTTTAGGGAGAGCCCTCTGTAGAAGAGATGCCGCCCCTCGAGTCCCTTGTCTGTCTGGGTTACTGATATGTAAGTAACAGGCATGGGAGAGGAAAACATGGAAAGGTCATTAAATGGGGATCTATACAAGCAAGTGGAAATCGGTGATTGATGGTATCTTTAATGTTTTGGGGCCTAAACACGTGTACGTTTCCTTCTTGGCTGGGGTAATGACACTTGCAGGCACCGGGAAGCGAGTTTAATGCGTGAAACCGAAGTCTCCTCCTGGAGCGCAGGTGCATCTGCTCACAGGCCATCTTTGATTTCTTCCCTAATCTGGGCAGGAGCTGAAGCACGTGCACAAATGTGGGCTGAAGGAAGTTTTTCCCAGGGGTGGGATTGGCAGTCATTATGTCTTAGGCAGAAAGAAAGTTTGACTTTCCCCGCACGGTTCTCCGGGGACTCTTCTAGCTGGTTGGGGCAAGGCTTTCCTTGTAAAATGCCATCCTCCAAGCAAACGGCATTCCCTCGGGTCAGCTTGGTTTTTCTCACCTTGTGCTGGATGTTAGGTGAGCAGTGCCACGTGTGGGTTTGAAACACACTTTAGATGGGCAAGCTTGTCTCTCTTTTGCAATGTGATGGCTCCCAGTGAAGACTTCAGGTTCTTACCCCATAGCTCTCCTGTTTTCTGCAGTCGGTTCCTGTATCATGAACAGTACATGGGGGTCGATGTCACTTGTCAGCCCCTTTTTCTTCTGTTGAGCGTATCATATTTGGGAACCTTTTCCATGTGGAGCTGTAGCAACCAGAGACTTTGCACTGAAGCACTCGGAATTCCTACCAAAATGAATGCTGATGTGCCGATACCCATTGCAGCCCCTCTTGCATCAGCCTGTGAAGGAACAGAGGATCAAGCCCAGTAGCTGCTGGATACAAAATAAACCTGACTGTAAAGGAGGGAGGCTGGACCTAAAGGACGTTATTTCCTAACCTGAATTGGCATGATTGTTGCTATCCATCTCCCCAGAGCACATTAACCGTCCTCTCAAAAGCTTCCTGTATCCTATCGCCCCACACGCTTGTTTACAGCCTCCTGGTTAAGGAGCACTGGAGCAGCAATACGTCTTTGTACTTTCTACCACGTAAACCACAGAAACCCACAGAGCTGGTGGAAGACGTCTGAGCAGCTCACGAAGCTCACGAGTGCACTGTGCCTGCTCCCTTGCTTTGCTGCTGCCTTTTCTTCTGTGTCTCCCTATTAACCTCTCTCCTGCTCAGGAGGTGACTGTTGCTCCTGACACTCAGCAGCATCCCCAGCACAGTCCTGTTTTCTCCTCTCTTAGTCTTAACCAGGTGTTTGCTGCTGAAGCATGTGAGCACCGTCGTCCAGCTCCGGACTGGTGTAAGGGAGCCTTGCTGTTTCCTGGCTAATCCTCCCCCCCCCAAAAAAAAATCATGTCTAGATCTTGTTTTATTGTGCATGCCTTCCCTGGGGGCTGGCTGGGCTTTCTTAGGGGAGATACAGCATATGACAAGTGAAATAACCCCGGCTGCGTACTTGCAGGAGGCGAGGAGCACAGGCAGTCTCTGCTTCTGGGGTTTGATTGGCAGCAAGTGCTGGG